CAAATGGCCTTGTTTGTTTAACCTTGCTGTAATTCTGCACTCATCCCATCTCCAGCCTTTGTCCCATGCACACTTAATTATTTATGGATAATGGGACCAAGCTCTAGAGCCTCACTGTGGCCCATCCTTTCAGAAAGGRAAACGAGAGCCAGGTGTCCATCAGCACACATGAAAGCTTTTGAAAGGAGGACAGAACACAWGAACAGTGACGAACTTTATATTTCTTCCTATGCTACACAGCAAATTCTGATTAAATCCATCTCTAGTTCTAAAACAAAATAATTTTGGAGGACAAAAATAATTAAAAGATTTAATTAGGTCTTGATTACCTTTTGCCCTGGTCTATTCAATGCTTGGTTCGTGTTGTCCCTATATTGTTGACTSATAGACTAAGTCAGGTTGGAAGGGACCTCAGGAGGTCCACAGAATAACTCTCAGCCCAGAACGGGTTGCTTCAGGCCTCTTCAAGAACTGGAGTYGACAACAGTTATTTGCAGATATCAAACTGGGCAGGACAATGGCACTTCTGTTAGAACTCACACTATCAGGCTCTAACTGTCAGGAAGAAAGACTAGGCCTTTCTTCTATCAAATTTGGACTCAATGGATATTGCATCTTAGGAAGCAATCACTCAGGAAAGTTGCTGCCCTGTAGAGTGGTTCTACTGGTGTCTTTCTTCACTCTCTCCGCATTTTCTGATCTCTTTCTGCCACCAGAAATAATGTAAGCTCTGTGCACAGTGAAAGGTTGCAGGGCAAATTCACCGAGACATGAGAATAGCAGCAACCTGTTTTTCTGCCACTAATATACTCAGTCTTCCTGTATCTGTGTTACACTCTGTGTGTAATACAGAGAAATTTATATTTACACTGGCTGGCCCGCTTGCTGCAGCCTTCAATAAAAAAAGCAGGAGGATTGTCTGGAAGTTTCCTATTTATGCAGCTATTGCCTTTTTCTGAGATATGTGACCTGCCAGTGTCAATAGATGACTCTTGTGTGAAAAGCCCTGCCACTAACAACAACAACAAAAAAAAATGCTGATGTATACCTACAAAAAGGTAACAAATCCTTGAGGTAGCAAAATGCAGGGTTTGAATATGTGAGGAAAACTTCTGTACTACAGATGTATACCGTGCTAGAAAAACACACTTTAACCATATTTTTGGTTGTCAGAGATATTAGTTTACAGCTTATAAATAGGCACAGTTGTAAAGTTAAATAAATAGGGGATACAGAATCACAGAAGAGTTGAGGTTGGAAGGGGCCTCTAGAGATCACCCAGTCCAACCCCCCTGCTCCAGCAGGGACACCCAGAGCACAGGGCGGCATCCAGGTGGGTTTGGAAGATCTCCAGAGAAGGAGACTCCACAACCTCCCTGGGCAGTCACCTCACTAAATCCACCTCACTGTCCACTCATCTAACCCACACTCCCACACTTCCTGAGCTTCCCCATGAGGGGAAGCTCATGGGAAATGGTGTTGAAAGCCTTGCTGAAGTCAAGGTAGACATACAACTGCAACAACACTACTTTTCTATAATAATTTTTATTATTTTGATAATTTCCTTATAAAAGGATATGCAACTGTAGACCAGTAATTCAAAAAGGTGGAAGTTTTGAAGAAAAGTGATAAAGTTACATAAAGCAAGGAATCAACATGCTTTTAGCTAGTCACAATTTTTTAAACATATTCTAGGCATCCTGAAGTCTGGTAATTATTTTCATATTATTTTTCCTTTCTCTGAAATAAGAGAAATCTTTAAACAGCACCAGATATTAATAATCTGTGACAGCTAGTACTGAATATGTCTGAAAAAGAAACCTGCCTAGCAGTTAAATTAGTTTAAGAGAATTCCTATAAACATTTGGAATTTTAAAAATTAATTTCAGAACAGTGTTACAGTTCATCCCTGAATAAACATTCAAGCACTTCAAATCCACACTACCACCATGATGGTGTCCAAGCTATCAAGATCTTGCAACAAACCACGATTCCCATCAAGAGCTCCCTGTACACTTGGTTCAGAGGCATCTCGAGCACCTTGATTCACCACGTCCACTTTAAACCATCATGAAGAAAGCAACTTTCATTCAAAACCACTCTGTGCTAACACCACAGGGCCTAGCAGAGAGAGAAATGTTTAGTACCTAGACACTACGAAACCAAGYGACTTCAACGTTTCCATCATACTAGTTATTAAAAGTGCAATCAGTTCCACATACATACCAGAAAGCCAATTGAATTTAGAAATCTGATTTTAAAAAAATCCATAAATTTCTTCTGGCTCTCCAAAGAGCCAGGACTAATATACTTCCACTGAAGGAACCACACCAATGAAATTCAGAGCAGAATTTGGCAAGCACCATGTAACCTGGAGAACCAGGCACTTCAGTGCTATGGTTTGACTATAAGGTGTTAATATTTAAGGTCACAGAATCACAGAGTAACTAAAGTTGGAAGAGAATTTTTGTAGGTTCACTAGATTGCTCAAAGCAGGTCAACTTGAGCAGGTTGCTAAAGACCTTGTCCAGGTCGGTTTTCGGTTTTCAATACCTTTGAGGAGACTATGTGGCCGYTTTGGGCAACCTCTTCCAGTGCTCAAGTGCTTCTTCCAGTGCTTCTCCTCTTCCAAGGCTTAAAAACAAACAAACAAATACCCACCCACCTTCACCCTTCACTTGCCTTTTTTTCACTTCACATGAACCATTCTGGAGGAGGTGATCCTGCAAAACTAACCGACTGTCCTGGACCCTTCTTCTCTCCAGGACTGTATCCCATGAGATTTTTACAAGCAGGTTCCTGAACAGGCCAAGGGCCGCTTTCCT